AGAGGGACACAGCGAGAGAGGGAACACAAGCAGGGGGAGTGGGAGAGGGAGAAGCAGGTTTCCCACAGAGCAGGGAGCCCGATGTGGGGCTCGATCCCAGGACCCTGGGACCATGACCTGAGCCGAAGGCAGATGCTCAACGACTGAGCCCCGCCCCGGCGCCCCTGGAAGGTGTTATTCCTATCCCCACTTGTGCAGTGAACAGTCGGCTCATGGGGCGCCTGGGGGGCTCAGTCAGTTAAACACCTGCCTTTGGCTCCGGTCGTGGTCCCAGGGTCCTGGGATGGAGTCCTGCGTTGCATCATGTCCTGCCGGGCTCCCTGCTCAGCGGGGAGTCTGCTTCTCCCTCTCCCTCTGCCCCTCCCCCCCAGCTCATGCTCTGTCTCTTAAATAAATAAAATCTTTAAAAAACTCCATCTGCTCACGGCATCCCTAGAGCCCTGACAGAGGGTCCCAAAGCCAGCCTGTGAACCCATTCTTCACCTCGTGGCCGAGGAGGACAGGCAGTCGAGTGCTGTGGACCCCTGGATGGGGACAAGCAGAAAGGGGTGGGGAGAAGCAGGAGGCCCAGGGCTCCAGGGTCCGCAAGAACCCATTAGCTATATGGAGAGCCTGGCTGTCTCAGTGGGTGGAGCACGACTTAATCTTTGGGCTGTGAGTTCAAGTCCCACATTGGGTGTAGATATTGCTTGGGGAAAAAAAAAAAAAAAGCCCACAACAAAACCATTAGCTATACTGCCACTCTCACCCCCAGGCCTGGTCTCCCCAGCTGCCTGTCTGGCACCCTATCTGCTGACTCTCAGTTTATCTGTTCCTCCGTGCCTTGCACAGGCCTGGCACACACTTGCTTGCACTCCAGTGCTTGTTGTTGACATGAATGGCCCAATTAATGGAAGCCTAATTGGGGGGCAGGAGGGCTCTCCAGATGCTCCTGGATGGCCCTGAGGGTCTGGGAAGAGGAGCAGGGAGGAGGAGTGCAGGGGTGACTTACTGTCCTGTTCACAGGCCTCAACTTCACAAGTTGGCAGTCAGATCCCTTTTTTTTTTTTTTAATTGATTTTAAAGAACAGGAGGTTTGGCCAATTTCCTCAAAGTTGCTGGCCTCTCCCCAGCAGCAGGGGGTGGGGGGTAGAGGTCAGGGTGGTACAGGCAGGATCCATTACACAGGCTAAATCAGGAGCTAGAAGGAATTGCTGTGTGGTAGCTCTCTTGCCAGAGAGAATGATTATCTTTCCAGGAAAGGCTGAGGAAATCCTTAGCAGAGCCCTTGGTTTTCTACCTTGGAGAAAATGTCTGGGGCAGGCTGATGGGTGTGGGGAAGGATTAATCCAGTTGAGGGTGGGGAGGAGGTGGACAGGGGAGTTAATCCCAGGGGGGTTGCGGGGTAGAAAGAAAGCTATGACTAGCCCCAGGTTGTGGCAGCTACTCCCCCCCCTCCCGCCCCCAACGCAGCACTCCTCACCCCCCCACCCCCCCCACCCCGTTCTCCATTGTTTACCAGAGACGACATCCTGTTTCTGTTACTTGCCTCACTGGTCCAGGCCCTGGATCCCCTCACTCTGCTGGGGTGGGGGTGAGGGGATGGGGGGGTGGGGAAGGCCTCTGGCTCCAGGTCCAGGGTCCAAGGACCTCACAGCCGGGGAAACTGAGGTTGGGGGGGTGACTTGAGGTCACAGCAGTGGCTTATGTGGGCCAGTGCTTGGTTGGGACTCCATGGTTCCCTCAAAATTACACACTTCAGAGGGTCCCAGCGGGAACCACCGAGGTCTGACTTCTTCTCCCTTGGGTTCGTGAGGTTGGTTCCCCCTCTCCAAAAGGCGCTCTCAGCAAGTGGGGTTCTCACATCCTAGGAGTGTATTCAGATCAACGGAGCTCTGCGGCTCTGCAGCACAGGCTCTGGACAAGCCGGCCTGAGTTTGGGTCCCATCACAGAACCTCTAGTGATTTAGTCTTTTTTTTTTTTTTAAGATTTTATTTATTTATTTATTTGTCAGAGAGAGGGAGAGAAAGCGCACAAGCAGGGGGAGCGGCAGGCAGAGGGAGAAGCAGGCTCCCCACTGAGCAGGGAGCCAGATGGGGGGCTGGATGCCAGGACCCTGGGATCATGACCTGAGCCAAAGGCAGACACTGAACTGACTGAGCCACCCAGGTGTCCCCTCTACTGATTTATTCTTTTTTTAAAAATTTTTTATTTATTTAATTGACAGAGAGAGACACACACACACACAGCGAGAGCAGGGAGCCCGATATGGGGCTCGATCCCAGGACCCCGGGATCATGACCTGAGCCGAAGGCAGACGCTTAACGACTGAGCCACCCAGGCGCCCCTCTACTGATTTATTCTTACATTGTTTATTGACAAGCGCTGAGGACACAACAGCAGATAAAAGAGATGTAAGTCCCTACATTCTTGTGGGGGAGGCAGATAATCAACAAGATAAGGAAGTAAAACAAAATATATAGCATTAGGGATAATGATTTGCTGTGGAGATAAGTAAAACAGAGGTTTGGATAGAGAGGAGACAGGGGATGGAGTGGAGGAGTGTACTTTTAAATAGAATGGATAGGGGCGCCTGGGTGGCTCAGTCGTTAGGAGTCTACCTTCGGCTCAGGTCATGATCTCAGGGTCCTGGCATCGAGTCCCACATCGGGCTCCCTGCTCAGCGGGGAGCCTGCTTCTCCCTCTCCCACTGCCCCCTGCTTGTGCTCTCTCTCTCTCTCTGACAAATAAATAAAATCTTTAAAAATAAATAAATAAATAAATAAACAAACAAACAAACAAACAAACAAACAAATAAATAAATAGAATGGATAGGTAGCATATGGGCAAAGACTTGGAGGTGAGAGATAGAATGAGATGGATACCTGGAGAAAGAGCCTTGTGCAAAGGAGCAAACCGTTGGTGCAAAGGCCCTGAGGCAGAAAACACATCTGGCACAGTTAAGGAAAAGCAAGGAAGCCAGTGTGGCTGGAGCAGAATGACAGAGACAAGGATAGAAGTTGAGTCAGAAAGCTAGGGGAGGGGGCGCCTGGGTGGCTCAGATGGTTAAGCGTCTGCCTTCGGCTCAGGTCATGATCCCAGGGTCCTGGGATCGAGTCCCGCATCGGGCTCCCTGCTCCTTGGGAGCCTGCTTCTCCCTCTGCCTCTCTCTCTCTCTCTCTGTCTCTCATGAATAAATAAAAAAAAAGTTTAAAAAAAAAAAAAAAAAAAAGAAAGCTAGGGGAGGTCAGACCACCCAAGGCCTTGTAGGTCACAATGAAAGCCTTTGGCTTTAACTCTGAGTGAGGTGGGAGCCCCTGGACAGTTTGTGCAGAAAGAAGACAGGATCTAATTCCTGTTTTATAAAGATCAGTCTGGTCTCTGTATGGAAAAGAGAAACAGGAACACCAGTTAGCAGGCTACTACAATAATTCAGGTGAGAAATGATGGATGCTCAGACAAAGGGTCGTCATGACGACATCGGTGAGGTGGTGAGATTCTGAATATTTTGAAAGTAGAGCTACCAGGATTTACTAATACCGGTACTGAACTGTGATGGGAAGAGAGAAGTCAAGATAACGTCCAAGATTTTGGCCAGAGGAACTAGAAAGTGGCAGTTGCCACTTACAGAGGTGGGAAGGCCTGAGGGAGGGGCAGGTCTGGGGGGAGATCAGGCCATTTATCTGCTGTATGATTTGGGGTAAGTTGCTTAACCACTCTGAACCTCAGTTTCCTCCTCTTTACAATGGTTATAATAATGGCATTCCTGCAGAGTGGCCATTATCTCTTCTGAGTCCAGAAAAGCAAAAAGTAGACCCATTTTAGGAAGTAGGAGGATGAGGTATTTAAAAACAAAACAAACCCAGGCTGTCTCTGTATCAGGCTATCTCATGGAACTTCACTTAATCTTGGGGGAAAAGTGGGCAACGAGGGTCCTAAAGTGGGTCTCCCTCTTCCTGTCCTGAGTGGGAGTGCCACCCCACTGTGTCCAACTTGGTTGGCCCAGCTACCTGATGGACTGTGACCCCGCTCCTCTACCCGCGGGAGACAGCCCACAAGTGCTTGCCCATGTCCCGTTCTCCCTGTGTGGGTCACTCTCTGCTGGTGTGTCTAGGCCACAGTCTTCCTGCTTCTGAGATTTGGGCAATTGGGTCTCTCACATTGTTCCATTCCCATTACCCCTGCCAGTTAACTCCCAATTACTGAGTTAACAGAGGATGAGACTGGAGACCGGAGGAATCAAGGTGCCTGAGGTCACACCATTAGAAAATGCAGCCTGGGTTCCACAACCAGCAGGAAGAATTCCTGCATCTGTTCCTTCCACTTCTTCCAGCCCAGCAGCCTCCTCCCCTCAATATACCAGGTGCCAGAACACAGCTGTCTCTTCATGGCTCCCCCCACCCAGGCAAGCTGTCCTAGGGTGGGGCTGAGCTTGGTGGGGCAGCCGGGTAGTGTCCAGTGAGGCTGTGCCCCTGCAGGCAAATCCAGCCAGAGATTCATTCTGAGCAACAGTTCTGACTGGTGAGAGCTGCTGCTGACCGGTGGGTGTGGGGGATTGGGAGGGTTGGAAGTGTCAGGTCAGGGTGGATCAAGGGACCTCAGAAGAAAACTTAGAATTGCCTGGGGAAGAACTCCTGCTGGATTGAGAAGAGTTGGGGAATGCCAGGGAGCCTGAGGGTGTGAATGGGGTGAGGTGGGGGGGGAGGGGAGATCTAGGGAACAGTAGGAGCCCCTGGAGGCTGGGAAGGGCAAACTGTAAGTCCAAGCCCCAGCTTTACTTTGGCCTTGGTGTCTTCATCTGAGCTATGGTAAGAACCCTCCCGCCCCAGCTACCTTGCCAAGAGAAAGGGCTTCTGGAAAGCAAAAATGACCCATAGATTGAGGTGGTGGGGGGAGCATAAGGGTAGAAACTGAGGTGGAGGGGGGAAGCCTGCCCACCCCGAGTTTTGGCCAGGTGAGGATGGAGCAGGAAAGGGGCAAGCCTAGAGCCTGGATTGCCTCCACAGTCACGGACCCAGCCATGCCCGTCCCACTGCTCCCGTTACTTCTGCGAGCGCTGGTGGGCCGCCTGCTTCTGCCTGCCGCCCGCCTGGCCCGCCGGCACCTCCTGCCCCTGCTGCGCCGACTGGCCCGCCGCCTAGGCTCACAGGATGTTCGAGAGGCTTTGCTGGGCTGTGTGTTGTTCGTCCTCAGCCAGAGACACCCGCCCGACGCTGAGGAGGCCTCCAGAGCGGCTGGCCAGGAGAGGAGGGAGAGGCTAGCCCCCCCCCAAATGAGGCCGCGGTCCCTGATATTGGCTGTGTCATCGAAAGCCTTTCTTCTGGACTAGGACAGTCCTGGCATCATCACTGAGCGCAGCCTACCCAGTGTGCGGAAGACATGGTGCGGGACTGAGCACAAGAAGGGTCTGACCAGGAATGCCTCCCCTCTCCCAGCAGGAATGACTGGAAGGATGCCCAGCATCGAGCAGAAAACTGATCATTACCCCTCCTGAATTCCTCCTCCCAAGACCCCTTTTTCCTAATCACATCTGGTTCCAGGGAAGGGAGGAAGGGACTCTCCTCCCCTACCCCCAAACGGTGACATGAGGTCCAGTGAGGGACAGTGCTTACCCAGGGATAACTGACAATTTACCCGAGAGGCGAGATTTTAACCCAGACGGTCTGTCTTCCAGACTCAGGATTTACCTTAAAATAATAGGACCTTGGTTCCCTAGGGAGTCAGTCTTGCCCCAAAGCCCAGCATGCTGCAGGTGCTCAATAAACGTGTGTTGATTTGAGTTCTTGGGACGCCATTTAAAGTCGTGTCACCCACGCAGTTTCCTACGCTCCTACGCGGGGACAGAGCCTAACGTGGCCAGGGGGGTGGGGGCGGGAGCGGGGAAACCACTCAAGCGTTCCTTTTGCTTCCCATCCCATTGTCCCGCAGTCCTCATCTCCTGGAGGTTGTTTCCCTTGTGTAACTTCAGTCAGTACGTCACACTGTGACCCAGCAGTCTTGGGTCCGATTTGGAGGTCTGGGGGCCAGCTCAAGGTAAGGAGAAAAACGTCACGTCCTTGAGCCAGGTTGGAGACTCTTCTCACCTAGTGGTGTGGGAAGAGGGTGATTTGTTTGCTAAGGGACCCCGCGGGCAGCCACCCAGGGGAGCAGTGTAGAAATGCTTGCCCTGAGGGGCCCCGTGTCCCTGAAGAGATCTAGGCGGGGTGCGGGTGGGGGAGTGACCAGAGGCATTCACCTCATTATTTCCGCCTCCCCAAAGAGCAGCTCCTAAGAGGTCAAATAAGAGCTGTCAGACTCATTTGCATTCAGCCTCCGGGTAATTTGCTTATTGTTCCCAAATAATAGTCCTCCCTCGCTCCAGGAGTCTTGCGCTGTAGGTTCAGAGGGGGGACGTGAGGGATGCGGGCCCCTTTCCGGACCCCCATCTGGGCCCCACACCTTCGTTCCGAAGGTCGGCCCCGGGGGAAGAAGTGAGGCCCGAGCTGTGCGCCCCCAGCCCAGCCCCGCGGGGCTTTCCGCCAGACCCCGGCCTGGCCACCCCTCGACACCATCTGCTTCCTCCTGGCGTCCTCCAAAGCCTGTGCACGTGCTCACCCCTCTCGGGAAGGCGACCTGGGGGAAGGGGCGGAGTGAAGGGAGTTCCCCTCGCGGTCCCCTAACCGCGTTCCCCTCCAGGGTCACAGGCACCTTTTCTTCCGTCTGATCCCGGCCTCCCATGCCGCCGGCCTCCCAAAGCGCTCCTCGCTCGCGAGCGGCGCGGGGCGGGACAGAGCAGGTCGCCGAGCGCGGGCCGGGCGCCGGCGTGTGGCCAGTTGCAGCCCCTCTCCCGCCGGCAGCGGAGACCGGTCAGACCCGGCGCGGGCTGCGAGCTCCGTCCATGGCCCCAGCCCCGAGCTGAGGAGGCCAGGACGGGGAAGCCGAGGGGAATTTTCGTCGTCCTCTTCCAAATCCGGCCGGTGCGCGGGGAGCTGAGGCGGGCCGCTGGGCGGCGGGGCGGGGGGCGGCGCGGTTCCCACGCGCCCCGCGGGGCCGGGCGGAGAGAGATGGGGTTGGGGCCCTAGTGGGGCTGGGGGGGGGGCGGCTGTACGTGGGGTCGGGCTCTGCGATTTCCGGCGGAGGGGATGCTTTTCTCGGACTTTGAAGGTCACCCCGCCCCACTCCTCCACCCCCGCTGCGCCACCCCAACCGTATCCAGATTCCCCCAAGGTCAGAGACCTGCCCAGGGCAAAGGGCAGGGGCAGAGTTCTGGGAAATAAGGCTGGGAAGACCAAGCCCAGAGGTAGTGAACTTCAAGTCTTGAACTCTGACCCTCATTCTCACCCTGAAGTACACATCCACTAGGAAAGAGGGAAGTGAGATGAGTATGGCCCGGGGAGGGCTGGAGCTTGTCTTTATTTTAAATGTGGATGTTTTGTTCATCATATCATTTCTTGCATTAACTTTGATTTTTTAAAAAAAACATCTCAGTAAAATATTATTTATCTTGATTTCTAAATTTTTTGGCGCCCCCATAAAATTTGCACCTCGGGCAAGTTAAGTGCCTCATTGGCCTCTCCCTAGTCCCAGCCAGGCCACAGGGCCACGGACACAGAGTCGGGAACAAAATGAGAGCGCACAGTCATGAGATAGGTGCTGGTGACAAACAGCCAAGCCAAGCAAACACGCTTCCAGCAAACGCAGATGGACACAGGCTGGGGAGAGTGGACCGGTGTGTGAGGTGGTGGGGCAGGCTTGGGGCCTAGAACACGGAGGAGGGAGTCTGGGGCAAGAGACAGCCTCAAATAGAGTGGGGGATGGGGTGGGATCAGCCCTTTTCACCCTACTCCTGTGCCAGGGACCTGAAGGAGAAAGACGTAAGACAGGGCAGAGGGTGACAGGACTGGCTGGGCCTGCCCAGAAAACCTCCTGGCACAGGCTGGTGTGAGTTGAGGCCCTGAGGCTGTCCAGCAGAGGGCCCTGGCACCCAGCAACCATCTCTGGTCAGGGAAAGGCTCCGAAGGGGCGTGGATGCTGGCTGGGGGCCCAGGCAGGGTGACTGCCAGATGGACTTCTCTCCAGCAGTAAGAGTCCTGGCTGTTGCCATCTAGTGAGCAGGCCAGGCCTCGGCGGGGGCGGGGAGAGGAACCAGCCTTTCCCCTGTCTGGCCTGGGACCCTCACCACTTCCCTTCGGTTGCTTTCCCCTTCCAGCCCCCTCTGCACACAACTGCACCCACTGGCCGCCAGCCTGGCCATGCCGGGCAGGTCTGTCTGACCACTAAGTCCTGCCACCCCCACGGGCCCAGAGATGGGAAATGAAGGTGGGGAGAGAGACCGGGGCCAAGGAAGAGGGGAGAGGAGGGCTGGGAGAGGAAAGAGTGAGAGACTGGACAAACACAGGATGGCAGTGGGGGGGGTAGACCCAGACATGAAGCGGCCCTCAAGTCGTGGGGCATTGCCTAAAAAAATACCACCCTACCCCTCTTCCTGCCCTCTGTTTGCTTAAGGCTGGGGGGTGATGGTGTGTCATGTCTCTGCGGGAAGCGCCGGAAGGCTGAGAACACCCCTTCTGGAGTAGCTTGGGGACAGTCCACTGATCCTAAGTAGAAAAACTACACCTCCCTTCAGGGCCCAGTCTGTTTCCTGGCAAGAGGGTATGACCCTGCCTCATCCTTTGATGGTAGTAATGCTAATTGGTTGTTGTTCTTTTTAATATATACATTTATTTATTTATTTGAGAGAGAGAGGGAGGTGGAGAAGCAGACTCCCCGCTGAGCAGCGAGCCCCATGTGGGGCTTGGACCTCTGGATTATGACCTGAGCTGAAGGCAGGCGCTTACTGACTGAGCCACCAAGGGGCCCCCTGCTAATTGTTGTTTAGTGTCCATGGCTTCTCCAGGGGACAGGTTTCTTGGGTAGTTGGGGTGTGGGGGGTGTGGGCACTGGGTTGGACTTTGTGTCTTTACACCTCACCAGCGGACAGATTATCCTCCAGCACTGAGAACTGCTATAGGGGCCCTGATTCTCCCCTCCCCCCAATGTACTGGCCAACCAAAAGCAGGGGAATCATTCCCCCTCCCGTGGAGGTGCAGGAAGGGCTGACCACTCCTCAGCATGCCCACCCCCTTCCTCCTCTGCCAGTGGCGGATGTGGGACTCAGCAAGGCTTGGCATCTGCCTCTGAGGACAATGGGATTCACTCAGGATGTAAGGCTGTTTGGGGCTTTTTTTCTTACCATCTCCAGCTATTCCTCAGCTTTTCCAAAGTTCTGGATTTAGAAAGAGTGAATCTTTTTTTTTTTTTTAAAGATTTTATTTATTTATTTGAGAGAGAAAGAGAGAGAGAGCACGAGAGGGAAGAGGGTCAGAGGGAGAAGCAGAATCCCTGCCCAGCGGGGAGCCCGATGCGGGACTCGATCCCGGGACTCCAGGATCATGACCTGAGCTGAAGGCAGTCGCTTAACCAACTGAGCCACCCAGGCGCCCAGAAAGAGTGAATCTTGAGGGGCCTACAGACCTGTGCCTCTACCCCCCCAAGACACGCATCCCCCTCCAAATCCCAGTTGAGGTTGGTGTGGCGTTTGCGTGTGGGTGTGCCGGTCTGTGTGTGTTAGAGGTGGGAAAATCAGGTCACTGATTATACTGACGATGCAGAGGGGTCCCTGGGCATGGGGGTTGGGGGGAGCAGAGGATAAGTGCGAATGGCAGAAGGTGGCCCTGAAAAGGGAGCGGACGCTGGAAAGGGAAAAGGTGTGCACTGGGGAAAGTGGCGTGGGAGGGGGTTGGGGGGAGTGATATTGGAATATCTGGGAGGGGAGTCCGCACCGCTCTGGGCGGAGGGTTGGCTGCAAGGACATTGGAGTTTCTAGACCATCGGGGTGGAACAGACTAGGGATGATACCCCTCCAGCCCCGGATGCTCGTTAACGCGGCGGGGTTTGGCGTGGCACGGCCCAGAGGTCCTGTCTTAAGAAATAACGCGAGGTGTGGGCCCGGCAGCCCCGGGGGGAGGGGGCATGGGCGCGGCGGCTCGGTAAGGGGGGGTGGGCTCGCATCCGGAGCTGCGCGGGGGGGGGGGGGGGGGGGGGGGGGGGGGGGGGGGGGCCCGGGAACGGCCGGCGCGGAAGGCGCCTCTCCCCGCCGCCCTGAGGGCAGGGAGGCCGGGCCTGGCAGCTACGCGGCGCGCAGAGGCAACGCCGCGTGGGGCCCCCGCTTCCCCCGCGCCGAGCGTGCGGAGCCGCGCTGCACGTGGCGCGCCAGGGTCAGGGCGCGTGGAGACTCTGCGGAGATCGGGACCCGAGTGGGGCGTGGGCGGCCTGGCTCCTGGGCCTGAAACCGGCCGTCGCCGAGCTGAC